CAGGGACAGCACGGGGTTAGATACAGAGTAAAGCTCTCTCTACACTGCCCCCCATCAAACACTCCTAGGGACAGGGCGGTGAGGATTGGTGCACGGATTTGTGAGGGGTAGATCAGGCTTCACAGACCTTATTGAATTCTTTGAAGAGGTGACCAAACACATGGATGAAGGAAGAGCAGTGGATGTGATATACATGGATTTAAATAAGGTGTTTGATAAGGTTCCCCATGATAGGCTCATGCAGAAAGTAAGGAGGCATGGGATAGGGGGAAATGTGGCAGATTGGATACAGTGTGAAGCTCCCTCTACACTGTCTCACTGCCCTCCACAACAAACTCTGTTGCTACAAGAGCAGGTAGAGGTTGGGAATCCTGCAGTGAGTAAATCACCTCCCGACTCCTCCCAAAGCCTGTCCCACCATCTACAAGGCTCAAGTCAGGAGCGTGATGGAATACAGTAACAGAGTCCTCGAGGTCTACAGCATGGAAAAAAACCCTTCGGCCCAACATGTCTATGCCAGCCCCTTTTCACAATTAAACTTATCCCATTTGCCTGCGTTGGGTCCATATCTCTCCAAATCTATCCCATCTATGTACCTTTCCAAATGTTTCCTAAATGACAAAATTATACATGCTTCCCCCGCTACCTCCGGCAGCCTGATCCAGACACTCACCACCCTCTGTGTGAACAAAACTGCCCCCTGGACCCTTTTGCATCTCTCCCCTCTCACCTTAAACCTGAGCCCTCTGGTTTTAGACTCCCTCCCGACCATTATTCAAGAAATGCTGCAGGGAAATGCATGCGAACTACAGAGCAGGGAGCCTAACATCTGTGGTGGGTAAATTGTCAGAGGGATTCTGGGAGACAGGATCTATAGGCATAGAACATAGAACAGTACAGCACAGTACAGGCCCTTCAGCCCACGATCGTGTGCCAAACTTTTACCCTAAACCTAAGGTCTATCTAACCTCCACCCCTACCTTATACTATCATCCATATGCCTATCTAATAGCTGCTTAAATGCCCCTAATGAGGCCGACTTCACTACCCTCTCTGGCAATGCATTCCACGCCCCTACCACTCTCTGAGTAAAGAACCTACCTCTGAAAAGGTCGGTTGCATTTGGAGAGGCAAGGAGTCATTTGGGATTGTCGGCGTGGTTTTGTGTGTGGGACATCATGTCTCATGAGTTTGTTTGAGTTTTTTCGAAGGGGTGACCAACAAAGGAGATGAGGGCATTTTGATAGCTTGTTGTCTACATGGACTTTAGCAAGGCCTTTGACAAGGTA